GTACGTACTTACTAGCTGAAGGAAGCCAGCCCAATAATAATTATAAATTGCCTTTATTCGATTTTTTTACATAATATTACCAAAAATTATGCGAGATGATTTGAGATAATATGGCGTCATCTGAGAATTTGTCACAGCTATGTTCTCTTCTTCGCAATAATCAGAATTCTACTTCAAAAGGTTAGTGTCTCATGACGCTATAGTCAACTACTTTAAGCGGAGCTTGCTTTAGTTTCGCGTCTCTTTCAGATACCTCACGAATCCGATACTTTCCCATAGAGATAGAAATTTACCTATATCCAGCCTATCCAACAAAGGATCTAAGACCGACCCTTATAACTACAGACCTATAGCTCTGTTTTCTGATATCAGTAAGGTAATGGAGAAGTGCATGAGTCCTTCTGGTGTATCTCGAACCTCACGGCTTGATCTTTGGCCGCAAGGTGTGGCCCACGGATCGGTCTTGGCTCCAACATTGCTTCTATTTGATATCAACGACCTCTCCTCCTGTACGATCAATCCGATCCTCAGCTTTACTGATGACAGCACTCTAGATGCAGGAATTCAGAGCTGAAATGAAGAAGACTAGCAGCAACTGCCTCTTTGGCGTGAAATATGCTTGGGACGTAACAGTCTGGTAAAGTTTCATGCTTCCAAAAGAACTAACAAGAAACGCCCTAACACTAATCATTCAATGGATGGCCGAGCTGTAGCAAAGAGCCGTCCATTGCGGCAGCTGCTGAGTAAAAGCTAGACTATTTGTTTAGGGATAATATTATATTTTTATCCGCATAACCTTTTCAGAGGTGTACAGACAAGGCCCAGATAAGACCTAGCCTCGAATACTGCTCACACAATTGGGTTGTTGCCGCCCCTACTACATTGCCCTTACTCGGTGAATTGCAAAGGATCGATGACGCTTCTCTAACGGAAGATCTCAGAACATTCTCACCGAAGGGCCGTCGGCGGTATGGCTCTCTTGTAGGGCTATTCCAACAAGTATTGCTCCTGGGAGCTCTCCTCCATGATTCTACCGCCGGATGCGCCTGAGGAAGACCCGCCAGACTTTGGCCTCCCATCCGAACCGTGTTGTACTTACCGCATATATAGAACTGACCGGTACGACCGCTCCTTTGTTTCCAGGTGTCGGAACTGTGGAAATATCTGCCTGAAGTGATTTTTCCCATTTCGACTAACCTTAAACAGTTCAAACATCGGAATAACAAGGTGTTTCTAGCCTTATAGCAGTCGCGGTGATGTCCTGCTATTTAGACTGTCGGCCTGATGTGTGACAAGATCTGCTCCATGACATTAGCGGAGGCCATTCATAGCTTCTATGGCCTAAGCTCAGAGATCCTAAGCTGTAAGCTCTAGCAGTTCAGGCAAATCACGTTCGTTGTGCCATTTTTCTATAGTTGTGCTTCATCGCGAGTAAACGTGGAATGGGCTGTCCAACCAGCTAATAGCTAGAACGAATTATGCCGATCAAATCGCTATTACAACGATTGTTTTACATAATATGGGCGCCGTTTTACTTTGCGCTTAGGAATAGTAAATTTAGACATTGAAACTGTATCTAGTATATTATTGGTAGAATACCGCCTCACCAACATTCTATTTGGTGTCAGTATTTTTGATGTAGGGGAAAGTGGGGGAATCGTGCGCACCTAAGCAAACAATGAATTTTTAGAAAAACAAAATTAGATAGAAAAGTGTCGAAAGTAGCATAATAAGCGATACTTATCGCATATTCCAACAAGTGAGTATAAATTTGAAAAATTATATCCATAAACATGATCACTGTCAAATGTGCGTATATGCAATCGCGCATGATTCCCCAACTAAGCGGGAAATTGTGCGAATGGATTGGGGAATGGTGCGAATGAACTTTCACAATTGAGTAATGATCAAAACATTCAACATCAGTGTATTTTTATTTTCAATTCAGGCAAAAATCGCATCTATAATTTCTGGGAGTATCCGAACCTGCGCACTGTGCATGACACCAGGATGCACAAAAGACACATCGATACCATAATTCCATATCCTTTCCAACTTCTCCGCAAATAATGCAAAATTCATTTGATGTAGATGGTGCTTGCTGAGAAGATACTTCGAAACTGCTATCCAAATCGTCTAGCTCTTCATCGTCGCAGATGTCTGATAGAATTTCTTCCGATGACTCTGATTCTGATCGTTCAACTCTCTTTTTGCCTTTCATCTTCTGTTCATGCTGATCATCGAAACACTTTCTCACAGTTCCTTTCTTTAGAGCTCTCTGCTTTCTTTCATTATCTTTTTTCATGTTATTTTCTTCCTTTAGCCGCTTACGTTCTTGTGCTTTTTCCAACTTCTCCTTCATGGGCGTGCTTGTAAGTATTTCTGAATGTTGCTTCTCTCGCGCCTTTATTTTCTTTTGATCTCTTTGTTCTCTTTGTTTTGCTTTCGCCAGAGGAGCTATGGTATAAAATGAATTATTCTTTGAAATTCCTGGCTGTGGATCTTTGTGATCCAGAAATAGACTCATAGATGTACCAGCTACCGGATCTCCACTATTTAATTGGGAGCCGGTTGGAACCGCAGCTTCTACCGTGGCTTCCTATACTACAAAACTGTTTGCTGGATTCGCGGGAGCAAAATCCTCTTCTTGAAATCTATCAGGGTTCAATGGAAATATGCCAGTGGTCCTAAAACCGGAAACAGCTTTTTCAATGGTGGCTATTTGCATAAAAGCGTTGTTGAGTAGTTCTGCGACATCATATTCCGTAATCTTTTGATGGCCAGTAGTAGAGAGATAAAGTTCATATTGCCTGTAAAGTGCGTTCTTCAATGGGCTAAAAACAGTAACATCTAAGGGCTGGAGGATATCCGAAGTATGAGGTGGAATTGTAACCATGTGGATATTCTTCTCTTTACAGTAGTTATAGGCCTCAATTGAAATATGACTAGTATGATTATCCAACACCAAAAGAACAGGATCATTAGCGCTGGGCTTTACATTGCTTCCAAAATGGTGTAGCCACTCCACAAAAAGGTCGGAATTTATGCAACCATTCTTTGAGCATTTATACGATGCCCCAATTGGCCCATTTTTACCAATTGAAGGCAACATTCTCTTTCTGGGATACCTATATGAGCATAGGAGGTTATGTACCTCCTGAAATTATGATTTCCAGCAGCATTTACTGAAAAAACCACTGTTATGGTTCTTCCCCTCTCTCCAGAAATAGCGGCACCCAATTTTTTAGCCCCTTTTGGTCCATAGACTTTTGGACATTTCTTTTGGACTGTTGTGATACCAGTTTCGTCCATATTATACACTCTGTTTGCTTGAAACTTATGTTTTTCCATCACTTTTCTGAGATTAGAGTAAAACATGTCTACAGCGTCTTTATTGAATGAAGCAATTCTGTTCAAACTGGTTCCTTCAGGCTGTCGAAGTGAAATCTCGGGACCCCTTTTCAAAAATCCATATAGCCAGTCTTTTCCGGCTAACCTCTTTTCACGGTTGAAATTGTGACAAATTTTATTTTCTTCAGCATATCTAAATGCTATGCTCCGGAGCTCCTTGGGTGTCAAGCCAAAGAACAGTTTTGCCAGCTTTAAAATATATTCTCTTAGTTCAGCTTTGATTGCCTCAGAAAACACAGGTTGGCGGCCCAAACGAGGGAGGTGATGTTCATGATCAGTTAAGTCCTTGTACTTCCGTAAAGTTGACTCAGGGATATTGAAAGCTCTTCCTACTTCTCTAATTTTTCGTCCATGTGCTTTGATCGCATGTATCGCATTTTTCAAGTCTTCAGCCGTAAATTTTAGAGTATTCGTTTTACGAGTGTAGTTTCGTGGCATCTGGAAAGAGCAAAAAACAAATCTATAGAAAAGTGTTATCTTAACATATAATCATGTGAGGGGGAATCGTGCGCATCTGTGCGCACGATTCCCCCGACGTATCTTCAGACACAATCCATGTTCTATAAAATGAACTATAGGCTTATTACATTCCAAATTATTCTGAAACACATGTAAAATTCTGTGGTCCAATAATATATATGAATTAATAAGATCACTTTAATATTGATTACCTACCGTCTTATTTTCGACACACGAAAATTAACAGAATTTTATAGCCCAACGAACATCCGTTACATATGATCACCTAAGATAAACTGGCGAAACAAGCGATGTCGCCAATGATTCAGTAGATCGACGAGGTGGCGTGGCACACGCGGGGCTAACCGTAGAACGCGCATAATTTGAAATAATGAGCTGCGCACAATTACCCGCAGCGCACAATTCCCCCACCTTCCCCTACTTCCTGCACTAAAAACACTCTCATTATTTTTAATCGCCCTGTATAATATGCGCACGACCTTTGACGCTGGTAGACAATACTGTATTTTTTTATTCGCAAAAAGCAGATAAGGTTATTCTCTTTGGGATGAAACTGCACGCATTTGCCATGCGTTCGACAAATTACTAAAAATAAGAAACCTTGCATGATAAGAATGTCATGTCTCATTGGCTTCTCGCTGAACCGCAAATGATTATCTGAAAATGTATAGTATAATCCATGTCTGTCTGTCGAAATTGGGGTAAAGATTGGCATGGCATTAATAATTTATACCTGCTCAAAATTAGGGCCAAATGCTGCACATATGCTGAAATAAGAGAGCATAATTGCGCAACCAAATTTTGTTTATCGTTCCAAAAAAATTGTTATGTACTAGATCGTTCAAGCCGTATTTAAGAGCCAGTATTTTGCTCATGTTTCCATATTTAAAACTTATCTTTTCTGAACCATCCTTTCAGTCACCAGAATCAATCTCACTAAAATGGCACAATTAGGCAAAACTCAACCTAGTGTGCCAGATTGCCAGCAATGAAATATACTTTTTCCAGACGATTGTAGAAAAAACATTATTTCGAATACTAAGAAAAAAATTGCCATTACGAGGGATGTCTTCTAAGTTTTGCATATGGAAATAAAACAACACGGCAGGTAGTTTTAAATGACTATTGTTTTTCGATGTATTCTCCACGAAGATTAATACACATCTGCAATTTTCGAACCACTTATTATACTCGTTTGCTGGCAGATCCAAAACGGCATTTTTGAATGCGTCAACTGCTTCTTCTGGTGACTGGAACCTTTGACCACGCAGTCTGTTTTTAATTTTCGGGAAAGTAAAGAAATCGTTAGGACTTAGATCGGGACTATATGGTGGATGGTCCAGTAATTCCACGTTTTCTTCCGTTAAATACTGCCTTGTTTTTTGGGCTGTGTGCGAGCTTGCATTGTCTTGGTGGAGAATGATTCTTCTTTCGGGGTTGATTTTTTGAAGCCCGGTGTTGACTTTTGGCAAAAAAATGGTGGTATACCAATCCTCAGTAACATTTCTTTGCTCATTAAGAGGAATTGTTACAATATGACCCGCTTTTAACACAAATGTCGCGACCATCTTTTTCGAAACACTTCGAGAACGGATGACTTTTGTTGGCCTTTGTTCACCTTGGAACACCCAAACAGCCGACTGTCGTTTATTTTCTGGTAAATTTTTTTGAATTGAGGTCTTTGAGACCTTCAAGGACGCCTCTACCTCGCGATATGTCACATGTCTATCTTCAATGATGAGTTTGCGCACAGCATCGACGTATTCCTGGGTGACTGCCGTTTTTGATGCCACCATCCTGGGATCGTTTCTAAGACTCACCCGTCCACGTTTGAATTCTCCATACCAACAAGAAATTGTCGACTGATGTTGCGCTTCGTTGCCGAAAACAGACAGTAACTCAGCAAGGCATTATTGTTGCGATAATTGTCTATGAAAGTTGTAATAAATTATGGCGCGAAAATGTTCTCGGTTGAGTTCCATTTTTCTAATGACTTAGTGACACTTAAAAATTCACTGCACGTATTGTTGTGAAACTTTGAATTTAAGTTTACTAAATAGTGAGGTTAAGATTCAGTACTGACGTTCGATCCGCGCGGCCTACTATGTTTCTATTAAGAAAACTTAAAAGACATCCCTCGTATTGACGGAAAATAGGAAATTTCGTATAGTCGAAAATACTGCTAGTCTCACTGATAATATAACTGGTATCTTTCACAAATGTGGAAGAATTATTCTGATAACTTTCAGTTTAAGGAAGTTATAACATATTCTGTGTTGGGTGCTGTAGAACCTGACCACCCTTGCGAGTCGAGGTTCGGTCGAAACGTCAAATGACATAAGTTCTGCTTCTTGCATAGCGCATTCACCCTTGGTGCTCGAGCTGACCAGTCCCAATATATTTTTGGTATCTTGACTGAGACTGCTGAGTGATATTATAGATATACAATAAATAAAATAAAATAGAATGTTTTCTGCGTACCGATTCAACTAAACATCGAACGGTTGACTAATAATGGTTATTGGTTCACCTTGATTAGGCTTGATTTTTAACATTTATTGAAATGCAATTTGACGGAAGCTATCAAAGGTCTCAGAATATCAGTGATTTCTATTAAAATATTGAATAATATCATGAAAAGGCGACAGAGTTATAAACAAGAGCAGTTTTTGATTCCAACATGATGCTTTTGTACAGCGAAAACAGGGCAACATTCATGTATTTTGCTTTTTCTTATAAATTTACATATAGCTCAACTGCAACTGTATGTATGAGTGGGATTGGCACGTCTTATACATATTATCTGTGTTTTAGGATGGAGAGGACAATGTTTTTATTGCTTTGTAGAAATTCATTAACCCTTAAATTAATAAATGATTACTATTATGATATAAAGGAAGATGAGGAATTGGATGGAATGTATTTTATATTCTATTTTTTTGCAAAATACAGACAAATCCACACTATTCAACAGGTATGTAATGATAAGAGTATATTGATCTTAAATTCGTGATTGCCATGCATTAATAAACGTCCAAATCTGCTGCCAAATTTAACAGCTAGAAAATCGACATATTATTTGCCGCATTCCCATTGGCTTTTGGGGATAACTGATTGTTAAATGTAAATTTATAACACAAATCAGAATACATGAAAGTTGACCTGTTTATAATACAGTCGAATTTTCACGATTTTATTCAATATTTTAATAGAAATCACTGATATTCTGAGACGTTTGACAGCTTCTGTCAAATTGCATGTCGATAAGGTATTTTCCCATTGGTCCATAATATTAATGTTGGGGAAATCGGCCCGTAGTCTATCATTTTAGTGTCTTTCAAAAATAGAAAACTTTCTCATTCGCTATTAAGAAGTAACTTTTCTCTATGTAGGGAAGTATTGACAACAAATAAAGATGCAGCTTAAAACTATCTTCTATTATTTACAACATATCAGTTCGATAACTAAACTTTATATTCCAAAATATTTAAAACGATCGAGTAACAGTGGTCTAACTTGTTTATGTCATATATATGCCCTATTAAATACCTCTACAATCGGGCTTCTGATGGTGGCAGAAACAAAACACGACCTACCACGTCCGCACCCTTGAAAATGGACGATGGATCAGCTCATCTAAATATTTTGATACAGATAGAGTTAATAGTTTAAACATGTAGCATTTCAAAAACAGATTGTGCATTTTAAAATGTTAAACACGGCACTGTTTATATTTATGCTGACACCCGTGGTGAAATGGTTGAAGCCGAATTAGTCTGTAACAACGATTTAAGTTGAATAAGCTGTAGCAGGATCTCCCGTAGAGTTATTACGTAAAAAACCTGTATAATGTCAAAAAACCGAAAATTTTAATTTTCTGCCTAGATAGCTGCGATGTGGCCAACTAAGAATGCGAGGTACTGTATCTGGGAACTTATCCATCGAAGAGGCTTGCGGTAAAAGCAGTTATTACTAAAACGGCCAAGAGAAAAACCTGGAAAATATTTTCAAGTTTCTGAAATGGCCGCTAGGGGGCGTAACTGCAATCTTGAATCTGTTTCTTTGAATACCGCTATATTAATCTAACAAAAAAATACCTGATCTTAAAAGCCGAGGATAATGTGAACTTTTTTGTTTGTCAATTTATGCTCTATCTCTAAAAATAAAGTGGTGGGGGTATTCAAAGGCTTTCCCGAAAAACACCCTGTAACTGTTACTTGGGCTAGTTGAAAAGGGCTACTCTTGGACAACAAATGTTATAATATTTGAACTTTTGTTAGTTTCACATGGACTTTTTTCGACATTCCTACAAAAATGGTTAATTTTCTCAAAATAATTAAATGCCTTGGTATAATTTTTTCATTAAAAAGTAGCTAAATGATGTTTTAACAAGCTCGCGAAAACCGCGTCTCGATATTTTGTTCGTAACCTAAAATTTAGGCAAAAAAAATTATACAGAAATCCCTTAAATTTTTAATTATCAAACTAATTTTTCTGGAATTTCTTTTTATTTTTAAGTTATGATGCTTAGGCAAAACTACAGTACGAGTGCAAATCAAATGGACAACAGCTAGTTCTAAGTTGACCTCTTGTAGAAAAACTTACATAAACAAACAACAACAAAAAACCAATATAATGTAAAAAAACCACATGTCACTTTTCTTACCACTTGGTTCCTCGAAATAAGTTTTCTAGAATGGTTAATAACATAACAACCCAAAGCTGAATCTTTCCCACTTTTATTTTTTTCGTAAAAGCCATATATATCTGTTTTATATAGATATGTACAAATATGACTAGTATTAAGTTATATGGTATTTTGATACATATTTTTGATTTAACGAATTAGAGTAAGCCGTTCTAAATTAATATAGAGAAGTTTTTAGATTCCGAATTGTCATTCATTTTAAGTGTAATTTGTACTAACTTTTGTATAGGGATGCCCGTTTGTTGTAATTTATGTGCATCTATAATGATTTTAACTCTTCTAAAAAGTTGCCTTTGTGTTCCCTTGCCTTTGGTAAAACCATCCTGATATTCTAGAATGATTTCACTGATACTAGGCATGATAATCTTATTTTTTCCAGTACAGTTGACCAGTATTACGCTTATTGTTAATGATTTTAATCCATGATCGTGAATGCTATCTGATAAACAGCTGCCGTTAGCATCAGTGATAAATCCTTGATTTATTTTACATTTTCTTGGGTTTACCGAACACTAAATAAAAAGGTAACAAACACTCTATACATACCTGGTTTGAAAATGCCATTTTTGATCTAGCACATTAGGTATATCCTTCGCCGCTACCCACTTCAGAATACAAAAGTGCTCATCCAATTATAACCCACTGCTCACCCTATGTATGTAACGTACTATTTTGATATCGTCTTGTAAAGCCCCGTACTAAAATTCCTAGGCTGCGGCATAAAATGGCGTATCATCATCAAGCTTACTTTTACCAGCAAGGCGCGCGGTATTAAATACCCGTTAATACCTCCAACTTAGTGACGATTTGTAATTCAATGCGATGGTTAACGATAAAGCTGGAGAAAAATACGACTTTTCAGGAATTTTTCAGCTCACTCGTTACTTTGATCAAGAGCGCAAGCCTACACATCGGCCTTTTTCAAACAAGCGTACGCCGACATATGAGTCTATTTAATCGTTATCCTAATATGGTGTGGGAAAATATAGGTATGATAGGGTTCCTGAGAACGGGCTAATTCGGCTACATTTTATGACAAGCGCATCTTTGTGAACAGCCAGTATTAAGCCCGCTTTTATGCACGCGTTTTTTGTCGCCTGTCGCGTGGCGACAAAAAACGCGGCGTTTATAGATGAAACAAAATGGAACTTTTGTCTAACGTTGTTTGTGGCGTGTCGCTTTCAGATAGATCAGTGGCCATCGTATCGTCTAAACAAGGAAGTGTGGTGCATTGATAAATAATGGATCCGTGTGTTGTATACTTGGCATACAAATATATAATCAAAAAGAGACGCAAGAGACGTTGGAGCGTTCACATAATAAACAGTGCAAGAAATCTCAGAGGCACATATTATACACTACACAAAGAACTAAGACGAGACAATGACAAATTCTTTAATTATTACCGTTTGTCGATAGCTTCCTTTGATGAGCTATGTGAAAAGTTAAAAAACACTTTCAATAAAGATAGGGAGCTGATTCAAGGATTTGCATTCGAAGCAGAAGAAATGTTATCAATGACGTTGAGGTAAGTTTATGAGAAAGTTGAAGAAATAAACCATTTATTCAGGAAATAAGAGTAAAACATCAAACACTATAACAAAACAGTTCATACATATTATTGATTTGATAACAGTGATATTAGTGATTCGGCTTGTGAAATTATTGAATTTTCCGATTCCGTCGGAGAAAATGGCGTTTGTGGTGACGTCACAGCAAATGATTCAGTAGTATCAGTATTAGGATGAGGCAAATGAGGTGTGATCTCAGATGATACTGTAGAATATGATGCGAATGGAGGTGCTGGCGTATTAAAACGTATATTAGAGATGTTGGTCATTACTGGATATTGCTGTGGTTGGTAATGGGGTATATGATTTGGAAAATTGTGTATATACTGATTTGGTTGTTTGTTAGTATATCGGCTTAATAGTTGCATGACCTCTATTCGAAAATTCAATTTCTCATTCGGAGTGAGCGTATCTAAACTTGCTTGTAATGATCTAAAAAAGGCCATGTCATCAGTTTCTTGTGGTTGACTTTGTATAGCTAATGCTGGCTGTCTGTTATGGGAATCAATATAGCTTGCAAGTTTACTTTCTAAATCTGATTTCTTTCTTCTATAGAGAGTACTTCTACTAGGAGTTCGTCCAGTTTCCATTTGGCTGTCGAACTGAGTATGTTGGACATCTGATGAAGTACTTTGCATGTCATTTATGTCCTTTGAAACATCCATATCTTCTTGGCCCTCTCTTGATGTACTTGGTAGTGAGCTCTCTGTCTGACGGAAACCAGTCACCTTTCGTAAAAATCCTAATTGTTTAGCATAGATGTACGTTTTTACAGCTTTAGCAGACGCTCCTGATTTTTTTCCCTTAGACTGTCGAATGGTACGAACATAAGCATCCCTCAGACTTTTCCATTTAAGTTGAACTTCTCTACCTAAAAAGGAAAAACAGATAACATGTTAGATACCTAAATGTAATTTTTTTTTAAAAAAATGTGTTTCTCATACGAGCCTTGACATCTATGTATATGTCGTACATCCCAATAATATAAAGTAAAAGTTTTAGATGCACTACAAATAATGAGAGACCTAAAATTTGTTGACAATTATTCGTATTCTTTGCATTTAACTAAGCCGAAACCCCGAAACATAGGAGATTGGCCATGATATTACTATTATAAGTAACTGTATCGTTATACTAAATGGCAGTTTTGTTTTACAGGTATTTAGGTTCAGGATGTACCTATACAGAGCTGCACTACAGCTACAGATTAGGGGTCACAACGGCAAGTCTTCTAATTCCAAGAGTTTGCGTTGCCCTATGGCGTACATTACAGGAAGAGTGCTTTCCTGTACCTACTGAACAACGTTGGCGCCAAATTGCCCAAGATTTTGCAGAACGTACCAATTTTCCTAACTGCATTGGCTCTATTGATGGTAAACATTGCAGGATAATCGCGCCTGCACATAGCGGATCACTGAATTATAATTACAAGAACTTTTTTTCCATTGTTCTATTAGCTATTGCCGACAGCAACTGTTGTTTTATATACATCGATGTCGGGTCCTATGGTAAGGAATCGGACTCCATGGTGTTTAGACAATGCTCCTTGTTTAGAAAATTGGAAGAAGATACCTTACATATCCCAAAACCTGAGAAAGTAGCAGAAACAACACTGCCATATGTACTCGTTGGGGATGAGGCGTTTGGACTAACAAATAACTTAATGCGACCTTATCCTGCAAAGAACTTAACAGAAAAAAGAAGAAATTTTAATTATCGCTTGTCTAGAGCAAGAGGGAAAGTAGAATGCTCCTTTGGAATTTTAACTAACAAATGGCGTATACTGCATCGACCGATGAATGTGATGGAGGAAGTCGCTGTATCCATCATCAAAGCTTGCTGTATATTACACAATTTTGTTCGTGTGAGGGATGGCATCAGATTTGAGGATACTTTGACAATAACAGGGCTGCATGATAATGATAGAGCAGAACCAGAAGGACGTGGACGCAAGTCTGCTTACAAATACAGAGATGCTTTCGCTGACTATTTTAGCAGTCCAGCAGGGGCTGTGCCATGGCAAAACACCAACATATGATTTAAACAAAATAGTAAGTGTATGTATTAAAGTAATTAACATGAAATGCTTACCAATTTCCTGCCTTTCTTTTTCATCTTTTTCCCCAAATTTTTGGATAACAATTTCGCACACTTCCTTCCAATCGTCTCTTTTAAGCTGTCTGTTTTTGTAGTCTCCTGACGATGAATCCCACAAAGATGGTCGTTTTTCTATTGCGTCGATGAATAGTTCGACATCCAGATGTTCCATTGTAGCACACGTCTTCAGTCTTTAGACAACACCCACCAACTGAGAATGAGTTCCTATCATAGCATCAGCGACAATAAACGCGTTGAATAAAAGCGTAAGCCCGCTTTTATGCACGCGTTTTTTGTCGCCACGCGTTTTCTCAACGCATTGTCTTGTATGTAGCCATTTATGCATCAACGACGGTGAGCCGCTCGATGCCCGTGTCGCGGCGTTCTCAAATTTGGTCGCCTGGAATTTGAGAACGCGTGGCGACAGGCGTTTTGTAAGTACGTTGAATGGAATTTACGCTTTTATTCAACGCGTTTATTGTCGCTGATGCTATGATAGGAACTCATTCTCAGTTGGTGGGTGTTGTCTAAAGACTGAAGACGTGTGCTACAATGGAACATCTGGATGTCGAACTATTCATCGACGCAATAGAAAAACGACCATCTTTGTGGGATTCATCGTCAGGAGACTACAAAAACAGACAGCTTAAAAGAGACGATTGGAAGGAAGTGTGCGAAATTGTTATCCAAAAATTTGGGGAAAAAGATGAAAAAGAAAGGCAGGAAATTGGTAAGCATTTCATGTTAATTACTTTAATACATACACTTACTATTTTGTTTAAATCATATGTTGGTGTTTTGCCATGGCACAGCCCCTGCTGGACTGCTAAAATAGTCAGCGAAAGCATCTCTGTATTTGTAAGCACACTTACGTCCACGTCCTTCTGGTTCTGCTCTATCATTATCATGCAGCCCTGTTATTGTCAAAGTATCCTCAAATCTGATGCCATCCCTCACACGAACAAAATTGTGTAATATACAGCAAGCTTTGATGATGGATACAGCGACTTCCTCCATCACATTCATCGGTCGATGCAGTGTACGCCATTTGTTAGTTAAAATTCCAAAGGAGCATTCTACTTTCCCTCTTGCTCTAGACAAGCGATAATTAAAATTTCTTCTTTTTTCTGTTAAGTTCTTTGCAGGATAAGGTCGCATTAAGTTATTTGTTAGTCCAAACGCCTCATCCCCAACGAGTACATATGGCAGTGTTGTTTCTGCTACTTTCTCAGGTTTTGGGATATGTAAGGTATCTTCTTCCAATTTTCTAAACAAGGAGCATTGTCTAAACACCATGGAGTCCGATTCCTTACCATAGGACCCGACACCGATGTATATAAAACAACAGTTGCTGTCGGCAATAGCTAATAGAACAATGGAAAAAAAGTTCTTGTAATTATAATTCAGTGATCCGCTATGTGCAGGCGCGATTATCCTGCAATGTTTACCATCAATAGAGCCAATGCAGTTAGGAAAATTGGTACGTTCTGCAAAATCTTGGGCAATTTGGCGCCAACGTTGTTCAGTAGGTACAGGAAAGCACTCTTCCTGTAATGTACGCCATAGGGCAACGCAAACTCTTGGAATTAGAAGACTTGCCGTTGTGACCCCTAATCTGTAGCTGTAGTGCAGCTCTGTATAGGTACATCCTGAACCTAAATACCTGTAAAACAAAACTGCCATTTAGTATAACGATACAGTTACTTATAATAGTAATATCATGGCCAATCTCCTATGTTTCGGGGTTTCGGCTTAGTTAAATGCAAAGAATACGAATAATTGTCAACAAATTTTAGGTCTCTCATTATTTGTAGTGCATCTAAAACCTTTACTTTATATTATTGGGATGTACGACATATACATAGATGTCAAGGCTCGTATGAGAAACACATTTTTTTAAAAAAAATTTACATTTAGGTATCTAACATGTTATCTGTTTTTCCTTTTTAGGTAGAGAAGTTCAACTTAAATGGAAAAGTCTGAGGGATGCTTATGTTCGTACCATTCGACAGTCTAAGGGAAAAAAATCAGGAGCGTCTGCTAAAGCTGTAAAAACGTACATCTATGCTAAACAATTAGGATTTTTACGAAAGGTGACTGGTTTCCGTCAGACAGAGAGCTCACTACCAAGTACATCAAGAGAGGGCCAAGAAGATATGGATGTTTCAAAGGACATAAATGACATGCAAAGTACTTCATCAGATGTCCAACATACTCAGTTCGACAGCCAAATGGAAACTGGACGAACTCCTAGTAGAAGTACTCTCTATAGAAGAAAGAAATCAGATTTAGAAAGTAAACTTGCAAGCTATATTGATTCCCATAACAGACAGCCAGCATTAGCTATACAAAGTCAACCACAAGAAACTGATGACATGGCCTTTTTTAGATCATTACAAGCAAGTTTAGATACGCTCACTCCGAATGAGAAATTGAATTTTCGAATAGAGGTCATGCAATTATTAAGCCGATATACTAACAAACAACCAAATCAGTATATACACAATTTTCCAAATCATATACCCCATTACCAACCACAGCAATATCCAGTAATGACCAACATCTCTAATATACGTTTTAATACGCCAGCACCTCCATTCGCATCATATTCTACAGTATCATCTGAGATCACACCTCATTTGCCTCATCCTAATACTGATACTACTGAATCACTTGCTGTGACGTCACCACAAACGCCATTTTCTCCGACGGAATCGGAAAATTCAATAATTTCACAAGCCGAATCACTAATATCACTGTTATCAAATCAATAATATGTATGAACTGTTTTGTTATAGTGTTTGATGTTTTACTCTTATTTCCTGAATAAATGGTTTATTTCTTCAACTTTCTCATAAACTTACCTCAACGTCATTGATAACATTTCTTCTGCTTCGAATGCAAATCCTTGAATCAGCTCCCCATCTTTATTGAAAGTGTTTTTTAACTTTTCACATAGCTCATCAAAGGAAGCTATCGACATACGGTAATAATTAAAGAATTTGTCATTGTCTCGTCTTAGTTCTTTGTGTAGTGTATAATATGTGCCTCTGAGATTTCTTGCACTATTTATTGGGTGAACGCTCCAACGTCTCTTGCGTCTCTTTTTGATTATATATTTGTATGCCAAGTATACAACACACGGATCCATTATTTATCAATGCACCACACTTCCTTGTTTAGACGATACGATGGCCACTGATCTATCTGAAAGCGACACGCCACAAACAACGTTAGACAAAAGTTCCATTTTGTTTCATCTATAAACGCCGCGTTTTTTGTCGCCACGCGACAGGCGACAAAAAACGCGTGCATAAAAGCGGGCTAAATTCCATTCAACGTACTTACAAAACGCCTGTCGCCACGCGTTCTCAAATTCCAGGCGACCAAATTTGAGAACGCCGCGACACGGGCATCGAGCGGCTCACCGTCGTTGATGCATAAATGGCTACATACAAGACAATGCGTTGAGAAAACGACGCGTTTTTTGTCGCCACGCGACAGGCGACAAAAAACGCGTGCATAAAAGCGGGCTTATTCTGTGTATTTTCAAAGCGAGCGTCAAGCGAACGCGCGTCATTTGAACTCAGTCTCAGGCGACGCGCGTCGATATCGCGTCAACTAAACAGGTAATGGGAATGTGTAGTATCTCAATACGCGCGTCTGGTGATGTTATATATGCGTACATTTTTTACGCGCGTTTCCATGTGAGCAGCTAGCATTTGTATTTTCAAAGCGAGTATCAGGCGAACGTCAGTTGGACGCGCGTCATCTGTAACTAGCCTTAGTCAGTAAAAATACATTAAGTCAGCTGTGGCTTGCTGCCCTCTCATGCACAAGTACACTCTATCGCCTAGTAATTAGCGGGTTCTCCTCTCCATACCACAACGTCAACGCGGGTGTTCCCCAGGTCTTGGCTCCGACATTGCTCGTCTTACATATCAACGACCTCCTTTCTTGTTCAATCAATCCAATTTACAGCTTTGCTGATGACTGCACTCTACTTGCAGAAATTTAGAGTGACAAGCCGATCCCTGTTGGTAAGCTAGAGAAAATAAGACTAGCAGCTACCTCCTCCCTGATGAGAGACCAAGAGGGCACCGCTTTTTGGGGACGCAACAATCTTGTACAGTTTAATGCTTCCAAAACACAGTACTGTACCTAGCGCCCATCCGGTTTCGAAGGATGGCCGATTTCTACCAAAGAGCCGTTCATTTTGACTGGTCGGATTCCAGATCACCGAGGACTTGATCTGGAACGTCAATAGCGGCAGCTGCTGAGAAAAAGCTAGGCAATTTGTTTAGGGCTGAAAAGTACTTATCTTCGCATGACTATACAAGGCCCAGATAAGACCTAGCCTTGAGTACTAGTAACATGTTTGGGGTGCCGCCGCCCCGACTACATTATTTATGCTGAAGCTGTTCAGAGAAGGGATGTCCGATCGATAACTCTTCTCTAACCGACAGTCTCGGGACCCTTTCTCACGGGCGGGCCTTCTACCGCTTACTCCTCAGAGCTCTCATCCATGATGCCGCCGCGCAATGTGCCTGCCAGACAGACCCGCCTGACTTCGGCAATTAAAACCGATGAAGGCTATACAGCACCGGCAGGGCAATTGTATCAACTGGTACAGATTACCAGATTACTGATACGTGAGCAATAAGCGTTGGAAGCCGCAGGGTCATCGGAGGCAGTCAAATGACTCAAAAAAATATCTCTCATCTGAGCACACTACTAGTCAAGAAGGTTTAAATAATGTGTTTGAGTGAATTATGAGAATCACCAATATTTAAGTTAGTGGCGTAGAAACTGAGATATTTTTACCCCTACTCCTTTTTGAATAAGGCAATTGGCCCCTCTAGATGCCTGGTAGACTACTACTTTTTCGATAATACGTATCTTGGGGCTAAAATTACCTTGCTAGATCAGGGATAGTGGAGATGTGAGGCCCCCTAGACGGTTGAGCACTCTAAAGTCCTTTTTTACTAGTGACAAGTAGTAATCAAAATTTGTCAAATTTGTCACCAGGACGCAAATTCAACCAATTGAAAAGCATTGTTGAAGTAATGGAACTAATGAATATATGGTCGATTTCTTCTAAAATATCTCTCAAACTAGAGAAAAATCATACGATTTGTGTTTAGCTACAAAATTTGATCCTGGGCACAAAATTTGCAACTAGGACACAGGTCACCACATCACGAAACATTTAGTTCATTTGTTTTACGTGCACGTGCTAGTGGAGATTTATGCCCCACACGTGAAGTGGATGGGGGTCGGGTTCGCCAACAACGCGTTTTAAATGCTAAAGAAATTTTGGATATTGTGGAAGAAAATCCGAGAATAAGCCCAAGGCAGTTAGCCCAACAGGTCCCAGAACTGCCACATGCAACAGCGTGGCGCATATTACATGAGGCCCAACTGTACTCTTATCACGTCCGGAGAGTCCAGGCGTTGCTACCTACAGACTACCCCTTAAGAGTAAGATTTTGTGAGTCGTTGTTGCAAGAAAATGCTCGACATGCCCGTTTTACAGCTGATACTTTGACCACCTATGAAGCTGTTTTTACTCGTAGTGGGATAACCAATCTTCAAAATACACAGGTTTGGTCCTTTGAGAATCCTCACGCTGTAGTCCAGACCCACTTCCAACATCGTTTTTCTTTAAAAGTGTGGGCAGGTATTGTCGATGAACTGGACCGTTCATATTGCCAGACCGACTGGATGGTCACCAATATTTGGAATTTCTTCGGAACGATTTGCCGGTGAAGATGTGCCATTGGCGGTCCAAGCACGGATGTGGTTTCTGCACGATGGGACACCTCCGCATTTTCATTTAGAAGTTCGCGACTTTTTTAATCAGGTATACCAGATACGCTGGATCGGAAGGGGTGGACCAATTGCATGGCCTCCACGGTTTCCCGATCTAAGTCCTCTGGGCTTCTTTTTATGGGGATACTTGAAAAACGAGGTATACCGTACTCCAGTTCAGAATATTGAAGAATTGCGTGACCGAATTACAGTGGCTGCCGATAATATGAGCCTTCAAGCACAGTAGGAAGAAGGTGTATTTGAATTAGTCACTGTCAAACTGTATTATTATATTTCTGAAGGTCTTTCATTACATTTTTTTTTTGAGAGATCAACTTCTTTTGTAACAGTGCATATGTGGTTAAAATTTGTCGGATAATTTGTGAAACACCCTATATAACCCAATTAAAAACAAACATAAACATTAAGATATAAATTAAATGACAGCATGCTTATTCATGAACAAACATTTTTTACACAGTGTTGCTGCTATGCCAAGGACTCAAAAGCTTGCAGTTTTTAAATTCAGCCCAGTGGCAGAATAAAAACCGCTTACACTTCGTTTTCAGATGTTCCAGAGGCTCCTGATCATTTTCAGAAAATTTATTGTAGTGGTTGAAGGTTGTAGGAGGTGGAGGCCCGGTAAAAATAATTTTTTTTGGCAGCAGTACATCTATATACTTCGAACCCCTTCAATTTATCAATACATATTTCACAAATCACAGATTGTGCCGTTCATTCACCCTCAAAACTTGAAAAATATTTACAGATGCGACACGCGACTGATTCTGACTGCATCGTCGGTTCTCTCGAGTTACTATACTATAGTGTGGTTAAGTTTCCAGCTGATCGATACTTAAAGCAGGAAAGAAAGAGTTAGTGTTATTTATTTATTTATGCCTAATTCCCCAACAGACTAATCAAATTACAGGGCAATGTAATGGTAACTTAAGTAATTGTGCGCATACAAGATCCCCTTGAGCAAACATAAAAAAATTAGCTATTTTAATAGTCTCTTTTAGCAAGGTGTTGCTAATACAATCAAAATTAATTACAGAACTGTCTGCTATAGAATTATAATTACTGCATATAGAATAGCGGAGAATAAAATAAAACGTTGGTAAGGGAGATAGAGGTAGAGGTAACTCAAAATCTCGTAATCTGTGGCCTTGAATGCGCAGAATGCTGAAACAATACGCTGGAAACGCTACTACATTAGGTAAACACATTAGAGGTTTTTCTATCTATTCTGCTCTTAGACGTCGAACGGGTAACATCAACGTAACATAGGGGTTCTTATAATTTTTCCAGGGGTATTATTTTTAATTATCTTATAAATTGCAATCCTGTTTTTTTTTCAAGACTACCAGTAGATCTGACAGGCAAAATATAAGTTACTATCAATTAGCAGACGAAACATTGCATAAAAAAATATTTTTCAAGAATAGGGAACAAAATAACAAGAAAGTTGTTCATAGCAAGGACGACAAATTATAATTCAATGTGTTTGAATACATGAAGCGAGAAAAGGAAACAGAAGAATTAACAATACCTGTTAGCCGTTTATTTGAGAAGGTAGCTGAAGCTACAGGTGTATCCATAAATACTGTGAAGCGAGTTGTTAAAGAAAATCACTCCAAAAACCACTCCAAACCACCGAATACAAAATTTACTTCTCCTCGAAAAGCCATAAACAAATCTAGCCCAAAGTCGTCAGTGGATCAATTTAATGAAGAAATTATTAGAAATGTTATATACAAGTTCGTGCATATCCATAAAACGAGACCTATAATGAAGGCGGTGTACGATGCTGTTATCAACGGTGGTGTAACTCTTAATGGAAAGCATTCTGGAAAATAGTACGCAATTTGGGCTTCCGTTGGAACATAACAGGAAGGTACTGATTGAAAAGCCGCAGATCAGAGCGAAACGGACAGAATATTTGGGAAGACTGAAAAGGCACACAGATCTAGGTGTGTAGATATATTTCAAACGACTTGAGAATACCAAATTTATGATGTTTTTTGGAATAAGAGGACTTGTTTTTATCTTTTAACCATAGAAAAACTTTTGTAGGCAGAAATAATATTGTTTACAATGACAAAACATACATACGTAGCTCACACACAGTACCGAAAGCATGGGATGATGGAACAGATGATTGCTTAAAATCACCACTTGTAAAAGGCAAATTTTTAATCATTGCACATGGAAACAAGCATTAGATCGTGTCGCTCCAGAAACATGGAGAAACGTTTGCGACCATGCATCAGGAGTGGAGGAAGAATACATAAGTCGGGAATATATAATGGATAACGTCCAGGAATTTATTATAAGAATAGGCCATGACAGCGATGAATCTGACCTACAGCTGTCATCAGATGGTAGCAGTGAAGATGACGATGATTTAGAATGCCAACCACTTAGCATTGGGCCTTCTCTCTCAGTCTAACTAAAACGGATGTTCAAGTATCTTATTTTGTTTATTACGTAGAAATATATTTTTGAACAAATTGTGTATTAGCTGGCTTTCATCAGTAATTTGTCATAATGGTTAATTTACTTTGTCAACTTTTGAGGATGTCAAAAAAAACTGACAAAGAAATCCTTACATTTCATGTAATCACAAAATAAGCAGAGCAGTTATGTTTGTTTTTTAACTGTCTTTTCTAGATGGTATCTATTACAATGCTTATAGAATTAGGAAATTTCCGTAATCATGAAATTACACACAAACATGTTGGATGCACGCGTTCAACTCCATACCCTTGAATAAACCCTATACCACGCCACTGTACAGACATACACCTCCCCTCTTGCGCATTGCGCGGCTCACGAGAAAGAGTACTAGCTCTACTACATTAGAAAGTTAGAGTTCTTCTCAAATTTAAACACGCTATTCAAAACTTCAACCTCTGGAGAAGTGGTGCATCTACTCTGTCGTGCAAAAGCTTATGAAGGAATGTCAGGCAAGCAATGAAATATCTTAATTGTAGAGACTCTAGTTTGAAAGGCCGCAGCAGGACAAATTAGGCCTTTAAAATAATATGCATAGAAGGGGTTCCATATCAAAGAATCGTACACGAGTTTTGGTCACACCAGCGAAATAAAAAGGGTTTTTAGTGCTACTGCGTTGGAAAAAGGTCGGCAGTTGCGCAACATGGACAGAAAAGTCCAACCTGCAGGAAAATGTTACACAAGATTTTTAGTCTCTGTTGTTCTCTCCAAAACCTCATAATCAAAGATAATCGAGTTCATTTTGCGACAATATGAACAAACACACTTGGACATATTAAAGAAAAGAAAGTTATTGTCACATCACTGGGTGATAGTATCTACATCCCCCTGAAGGGGAAGGTTATCAAATGAGTGGGTACTATGGAGTATGGACTAGTTGCATGGACCTTTTTAGCTGACGTTTTCCATTTAATTTTTTTGTTATACATGTTTGTAGGTAGCTAAGAAGGATTAACATGTGCTGAACATAATTATAGTGTATGAACTGATGATAACGGTGCGTGGAAAGTAACGAGTCGACCTACTTGACGCCATTTTTTTTCGAGATTATCTCTCAGCCAAGTAGTGACACTGCTATTTTCATTAATTGCTGTCATATCAATCTACGTATTGTATTAGATTTGAGCGGAGCTCAAATCTTTCTTTTGGATTGGCCGAATGTTCGATTAGGTCGCAAACCCTTCTTTTTGACTGGTCGAATTCATGCCTTAGTCGCAAATTTTGTGCCCGGGATCTAATCAAAAAATAGGTTTTTGTAGCTGAACCGGGTAACATATGAAGTATTTCCTTATTTAATATGAGAAATAGTAGCCCATCTTACACAAATCACATAATTTTGCTCTAGTTTGAGGGATATTTTACATGGAATCGACTATATCCATTCACTTCAAAAATGCTTTATTATTGTGCCCCGGACAGTAAAATTGGGCTTAAGTTAAAATAAATTCGACCATATCGTAGGAACTAGAAGCAGCATGATCTCCCCCTTCCCTCCCCCTCCTAGTAGAAGAAATTAGTCGTACTTCTAAGTTACCGGTAGTAGGCGCGACCATGTATTTTCTGGTACCAAAATAGAGGCGAGTACTAGTGCATAACACATCGTTATATCACTGCTTACACAACGTGCCGATACAAAGGCATGTCGCGTTAGCAGTGGCGTACGATGTGTTCCGTTTTAGTACCTGATTATAGCGACGAATAAATAAAAACAGTTCCCGTGGTCCCCATATAACGCCGCGTATCTTTTTGGACATAGTTTGTAGGACTTTTTTATTATTCTTTATATACTTTCTGTCCTGGGGAAATATTGCTATTATTTTTTCAATCGTCTAGAAGAGTCCAGTATGGATGTTTTCAGAACATTGAAAATGACACTGGAACTACTAGCCACATTTTAAAAACATCCATGGTAAATTAGATATACCCTAGAGAATATCGTATTGTTTCATTATAACTTTAATAGGTTAATGGTATGTTTATAGGACATACTCGTATATGTACATTGCTGGCTTGATTGTCCGCCTACCGAACAACTAGCTGTTACGTGACCCCGGATAGCTCGATAACATTGTAGCATATCTTGGCAAACATTCCATGCATATGTGCATGTGGATTCGGAGATGCGTTGCCCAGCAGTCCAGCCAGATCACATTCCACTTGCTCAAACGATCACGACCATTCCTCATCTGCGTCGACGTGCCAATTTTCTTCTTCTGCGGCGGACCACCCAAGTCGCTGAGCACCTACGACTTACCGTCGCAAGCTCGCACTACACCATCAACATTAAATTATATCATTAACTTTCGCTGCACCGCGTATAAATATGCTACACGGTGGCTCACAACGTAAAAGTTACAACGTACAAGAAATGCTACCAAAACACATCCAGGTTCGCAATCCTTGAATCCTGATAACTATTCCCTCTTAAGTCAATTGGCACGCGGGGCCTTTGTCTAGGCCTGATATAGTAAATAGTTAAAATATATATATATATATATATGTGTGTGTGTGTGTGTGTGTGTGAGCAGTAGTCATTGCAATTGCCAACGACCAGTTGGGCAAAAAATACAATTAATTGTTAATAGGGAAATTGGCAAACTTTTAGGCTTTAATTAACTCTTTTGACGATAAAATCAAGCTTTCGGCATTCTCTATGGAGCCTTCATGAGGATCTGAAAAAACAATTGTGATGCTAGCAACCAATACAGGAACGACTTAAATTGTCAAACAACTTACTCGTCGTTGAGGTTGAAGCCAAATGGTGTTTCAAAACGAACGTAGAGATGAGAGAACTTGTTACAAATATAAAAACAATCGGACGGAGACATATATATAGGTGAAAAATAAAGCCTCCGCCTTTAGTTGGGTACTTCGACAAGATTAAAGCGATGAAGACTCTTTATACTTTATTAGTCTCTAGCTTTCGGCGGGCTATATAATGACTTTGAAGTTGAGTCATTAATTTTCAGATAATGATTGTAGAAGGAAGATAAACCAAAATATGTGTGTAAAAATAAAAAAAAAAATTTACCTTGTTTTATAAAGTATCCTCCCGACAAGTATTTCAGTGCGGACCTGTATTTGATCGTGAGGTCTTGGAGCACCGGCATGCCGTCCATATGTGAGGTCTTAAGTCACCTGATTCACGAACCCGTTGTACTACATTAACAAAGGCACGAGGGGTTGGTTGCACTCGATTGGGAAACCGATCCGCATAAACATGTGCCATTTTTTATTTCGTTTGAGCCACGCAACAGTTACACCACTATTCACTACCGACTGACACTGACTGTATACAACTGAATGAAATAATTGTAAAAACATCGTTCCAAATTCTTTCGCTTTTTTGTTTCCGATACGATGAACCGGTAAGGCGGATTATATCCGTTGTCGCCAAACACGAGCACATAATATTATTATTGAGACAGGGCGGTACTCAAACTTCCAAAGGGCTATAACTTTGTTACTTTAATTTTGCCAGAAAAATGGTAAAGGAAAAAAACATTTCTTTTGATCAGATATACTCACTGTTAAAATAAATGACTCAACTTCGAAGTCACCCTGTATATAAGAAATAGCAACTATTGTGCAAAATGATTTTAAATTACTTACAATAGTATGTGAGATTGTTGCTAAATGTTATTAAAGGTTAAGTTGAGGGAAACATTTATTTATATTTATATATATATATATATATATAAAGAGTAAATTATAATGCGGAGAAAGGTATATAACAAAAATAGGAAAATAATGGGCAAAATCCGCAAAAAGTGGATTTGAGCAGAATAGGATAGGTAACCCGAGCGATACGTATTTCTGCTGGTTGGCTTCATCAGGCCCGAAATGAATGCACATATGCAACTACAAAAGTAAAGACACATGCCCATACATCCGGATACGGGTGTAACCTGAGGAAACAAAGATGGAGAGGAAAAAAAAAGACACACGAAGTCCACAACAAGAGCCAACCTACACATTGTAGTATCAAATGGCTAGAAGACCTAGAATTTTCAAGGCGACAAATAACCACAACTACGCGGCCGGTTATAGCGACTTGCTGTGGTACTTCAAGCCCAAAGCTCGGGTTACCTATCCTATTCTGCTCAAATCCACTTTTTGCGGATTTTGCCCATTATTTTCCTATTTTTGTTATATACCTACCTTTCTCCGCATGATAATTTACTCTTTGTAGATCCTTTGGGCTTGAAGTACCACAGCAAGTGGCTATAACCGGCCGCGTAGTTGTGGTTATTTGTCGCCTTGAAAATTCTAGGTCTTCTAGCCATTTGATACTACAATGTGTAGGTTGGCTCTTGTTGTGGACTTCGTGTGTGTTTTTTTTCCTCTCCATCTTTGTTTCCTCAGGTTACACCCGTATCCGGATGTATGGGCATGTGTCTCTACCTTTGTAGTTGCATATGTGCATTCATTTCGGGCCTGATGAAGCCAACCAGCAGAAATACGTATCGCTCGGGTTACCTATCCTATTCTGCTCAAATCCACTTTTTGCGGATTTTGCCCATTATTTTCCTATTTTTGTTATATATATATACGAGTATATAAACGAATTTCTTCCAACTTCCTAGAGGTCTACCACGTTCCGATTCTCTATCCCCCATAAACCTTTTTTGGCCATCTGGAGTTGTCCATACATTGGAGGTGACCATAGCAAAGTAATCGCTCCAATGTATCTCTGATGTGGTCTCCATTCATAATTTCTTTAATCCTTTCATTTCTGACATGCTCTAACCTAGAAATACGACAACTCCTCCAGTAATTCATTTCTAGGGACATCAATATCGTTATTTATTTCAGTCACCTCCCATATTTCGGAGCTGTAAATACTGATACTTTCCACTTGTTATTTTTTTGTTTGTTCTGGAGCTGCATAGGACCGAGTCTAATTACTCTTTTCCCTTGTGCTATTTTATTTGAGATATCTTGGCTGTTCCTTCCATTTACAGTAAACGTTAACTTCCATATATACAGTAATAGACAAATTAATATTGTGCTGTATTTCTTTTTTAACT